AGTATTATTAATCGCAACGAGATTGAAAATGAATAAAAATATCAATCATGAAAATAATAATTCACATATAATATATGACTAAACTCTTCAAAGTCAAAACAAATGTTAAACAAAATACATAATGAAAATAAATTCTTAGGTAAAGCTGGACCAACAACTAGTACAACATAACCGGTATAAAATTTAACTTCATGATAGAGTTACTCCATTTATAAAAAACCTCCATACATTATAGATGTTCTAAGTGTGGGATCAAGACAGTCTACCTTTTAATACATGGACATGATTAGACTTTGAGCCAATTAAATGATTGTGTTCATCTTTAGTTTCAGCTTTTAAAAATACTAGGTAGAGACCTGTCACATGTGCCTTGCATGGGGTGAGGATGTCAGGTAAATAATTTTATTTAGTAAAAAAATTTGTGTGTAGTTTGAAGAATACATTACTAACGTATAATGTGTGCATTGTTTGAGTTTTGGTGATTTTTCCTTTGTTGTTTTAATCTATGTTTGTTACTCTCTATTCAAATGACTGAAACCTTGATGTTAAAAACATGTATAATATGTGATGTTCAATCATAATCAGTTTTTTTTGTAACGTTCAATCATAAACACATCGTGTACATTGTTCAGATGAAAATAATTATATTCTCATGTAAATTCATCGCTATTAAACGATATGGACCATGACTGGTGATACATGTAGTGAACAGACGAAATGATGAGCTTTTGAAATGAAGAAGAAATTATTAGCCCTAAATGGAAGACAACTTTCATATCTCTAAATATGACATATCTAAATAAATATCCTTGATTCTTAAATCTATTTGCTCGATTTTAAAATCAATATCCTTGATTCTTAAATCTATTTTCATTTTGAAATCAATATGCTTGATTTCCAAAATATTTCCGTAAAATGAGAGTTTAAAAGAAAAGAAAAAGCTCCAACAAGAGTCAAACCAAAACGAGGAAAAACTGAATTACACAACAATTCTGAAACCGAAAGTAAAAAAAACGAAAAGACAATTAAAATCATTTTGAAATCTATATCTTTGATTCTTAAATCTATTTGCTCGATTTTAAAATCATATGATTTATTAAGATTTGGATATCCTTGATTTCCGTAAAAAGTTATTTTCATTTTGAAATCAATATCTTTGATTTTTAAATCTATTTGCCGATTTTAAATCATATGATTTATCAAATATTTCTAAATCCAAATGTTTTTTTAAATCCATTAAAATAGTGGAATCAATAACCCCCACTAAATGTTATCACATGTTTACTATAATTATTCAAGAATCAAAATTGTATTAATTATCACAATGTCATGCAAGCATCTATAATGCGTGTAAGCTTACAAAAAGTTCAATATCTAATTTTGTTTAAAACTATCAAGTATTATAGACTCAGAGTAGTAGCATTATTGTAGTTATAATTGATTATATTACAAAATTTAGTATACACTACTTTAATATACGATTACTGACAAAAATAAATATACAATTATTTTTTCAAAAAAGTTTTAAAATTTTAAATAAAAATAATAAATATAAAATTATATAAATTTGAATTAACAGGTATGATATTTTATAGTTTTTTGTTCAGTAAATTGGAGAAAAATATTACCCGCTTCAACATCAAAAAAAAAATTATTAAAAAATACTATAATAGACATTGTTAGAAGTTTGAAGAATAAAACAATTACATATACAAAGACATTATTAAATACATCAGTTTGTCAAAAAGTAGTTCATCAAACAATAACCAAACAATCTCATCTAGACATTACAGTTTTTGATCAAATATCATGTAAATTTATTCAAAATCTTAGCATAATTAAAACAGAAACATTTAACATCTACTGTCAATATTAGTTCATTTACAATTTAATAATTTAAACTTCATTTTATGATTTATATTTTTTTAAAATAGATATATTGGTATTATATATATTCAAAATTAATATAATAAATTAAATTAAACTAAAATTTATATAAGAAAACCCGGGAGTTAGTAAGAAAATAAATTTGTGGTCCAATTCTATTTGCAACTTCTCGTGAAACAAAAAATAGAATCTAAAGAGATTTGATAAAGGGGGTTACGGTTCTTTCGCTAAATTTCAATTTGTTTGATTTAACCCAATTTTATATGATTCATACCACTACAATAATTCTTCATTTCTATCCCATCTTCAATGTCAACTTGTTTCTCAGATTCAGTCGCCTGTAGACAAAACCAGAGAAAATAATGGATAATAACATCATGCAACCAAATCTTCACGGATTTTCTAGACAGGTTAATTCAATTGATAAATGCCTTTTTGTGTTTCTCGATCTCTTATCATATTTGCCGGCTAAATATCAAATCATGAGTTAAAAACTTCGGCTAAGAAATCGGAGTTAATCATGCTCTAAGCGACCTGATAAATACTTCGATCCCTTTCCTTATAAACCAAACCAATACTTCAGACGGGAGAGGTTAGAGAACGTTTTGTAAGGTGGTCTAATTCTCAACGCATTGTACTTCGTTTAAAGAAAACTAGATTTTGAACCCGCACATCCGTGCGGGTGATCTTTCATTTTCTAAATATAAAAATTTAATATATGTTAACAATTTTATTTTCTGGAAAATTTATTACATAATTTACAAATTTTTAATCTTCTTAAAAGGTAAATAATATTTTAGTCACTTAAATGGTGAATGATATTTTATTTATTTATTTAAATGATTTTTTTGAAAATATATTAGTTTTACCAATTTAATATATTTTTATATGTAATTCATTTATTATTTCTATTTTAATATAATATAGATTATACTTATAAATTTTATAAAATTGGCATATAGTATATTATATTTTGTTTATAATAAAATTTTAATTAAAATTAATGTATAATAATATTATACTACTAATTACGAAATTAATCAGTGTATTAATTAAAAGCTATTTAAATTTTTAAAAAGATTTTGTGATTACTAAAACTAAAATTTAAAATTACAGTTAAAATAGATTTTTTATTAATATCTTTATAATTATTAAAATATTATACATTAAATAAACTAATGTAAATAATCAAAACAATGTAACTGAATATATGGACCTAGTATGACTATTTTATAGTAGATAAAAATGGTACTTCTCTTTTAATAGAGAAGACTAGATATTGACCCGCACAACCGTGCGGGTGATTAATTTCATTTTTATATATAAATATTTGATTTGATGTACATGATTAATAGTATATAATTTAACATTTACCATTTTACTAATAATTTAATACAATTTTTTATAGTTTGCATATTTCAAATTATTAGTAACATCTCTATTACTAAAACATGAACACTTGAAAAATAGTATTTGTACACTGATCATTCATAGTGATAGCATATTTTCAAGAGTTGGGTACAAAATTCTAAAAAAACAAATCTAAATGAGAGATTTAATTGAAAATATCATGTTAAATTAATATCAAAATTTGAATACAAATTATACATCAAATTAATATAATTAAAAAATTAAATAGATACTTAAAATGTTTATTTAAGTATTACATGAAATATAAATTGTTATTTTAAATAATTATGAAATTAATAAAATATTTAAAAGGTTTTTTTAAGTGAAAAATAAAATGTACATTGATATTTTAAACAAATATGAAAGTAATTAAATATTTTAAATGTCTGCTTTCATGAAAAGTAAAATATATTTATATTGTTAAGAAAAAGATATGAAAAGATTTTATACATAGAAAATATAGGAATATCTATTTGATTTTTCTAGAATAGTTAAATAATTCAAATGTGCATGAAATAATATATTTAAGTAAATTTTTAAGAGATGATCTAAAATGAAATACCACACATGAAGGAAGTCATTACTTCTGTTTTAATATATAAGAAGTAAAATATATTTATATTGTTAAGAAAAAAATATGAAAAGATTTTATACATATAAAATATAGGAATATCTATTTGATTTTTCTAGAATAGTTAAATAATTCAAATTTTAAGAGATGATCTAAAATGAAATATCACACATGAAGAAAGTCATTACTTCTGTTTTAATATATAAGAAGTAAAATATATTTATATTGTTAAGAAAAAGATATGAAAAGATTTTATACATAGAAAATATAGGAATATCTATTTGATTTTTCTCGAATAGTTAAATAATTAAAATTTGTATGAAATAATTCATTTAAGTAAATTTTAAGACATGATCTAAAATGAAATATCACACATGAAGGAAGTCATTACTTCTGTTTTAATATATAAGATATGAAATATTTAAGTAAATTTTTAAGAGATAATCTGAGAATGAAATATGACACATGAAGGAAGTCATGACTTCTGTTTTAATATATAAGATGGTTTTAGAACATTTTTTATTGATTTTAATATGAATTTATTTTCGCTGTTAATAATCTATTATAAATTTTTATTTTTTTTGTTGATTTGGATTTAAAAGTTAACTTTAAAAATATTATTTAATTATTTAGTATCTTAATATTTAGGTAAGGTCCAAACATGGTATAAAAATAGTCAAAATTAAATTATATTTTATAATAAACATGCATTTTTATATCATCTTATATTTTTCAGTGGTTAATAATATTATTTGAATATATATTAAATTTTATCAATTATCGAACCAAGGATTAACAACCGATTCGATAACTCAATGAACAGAGAAGTATTCTGGTTCATCATCTGGGCCGGTTTTAAATCACTGCATATATTTCATAATTAATTTTTTTATTATTTTCTCCGTGTTTTGTAATAAGCCATGTTGCACAAAAATAAGAAATGTTGCAGGCGGGAAGGTTTTAAAATAGCAGACGAGCTCTCTGACTCTGATCCCAATCTACATGTGATCATATTCGCCTCATTTCACAGTAGCTTCAAAAGGGGGTCTTTCTTTTATTTGAGATTGTAGCAAGATCGATTCTTCATGATCTTGAACATCTTTGCTTCAACTTTCTTCTTTCAACTTGACCAATGATGGCAACAAACATCATCGACTTTCAGAACTGCTTCATCTTTATCTTCCTCTGCTTCTTCTCACTACTCTGTTACACTCTCTTCTTCAGGAAACCAAAGGACTTTACTTTGCCTCCGAGTCCTCTTTCTCTACCCATCATTGGTCATCTTCACCTTCTTCTCTCTGTTCTAATCCACAGATCTTTACAAAAACTCTCGTCCAAGTATGGTTATATTCTCTATCTCCGCATCTTCAGTTCCCCCATAGTCCTCGTCTCCTCGGCCTCAGTTGCTTATGAGATCTTCAGGGCACACGACGTTAACATTTCCTCTCGTGGATTCCCTCCGTCCGAAGATTCCCTTTTCGCTGGATCTTCCAGCTTCATCTCTGCTCCCTATGGAGATTACTTTAAGTTCATGAAGAAGGTTCTTGTCACCAACCTGTTAGGAACTCAGGCTCTCAAGCGGTCACGAAGAGTCCGTGCTGATGAGCTAGATCGGTTTTACAATAACTTGTACGAGAAGGCAGTGAAGAAGGAGACCGTGGAGATCTTTGAGGAAGTGTTGAATCTCACATGGACGTGTTGTTGGCAAGTTATGGAGACGAAAATGCAGCGTATAAGATCACTAGGAACCATATCAAATCGTTTTATGTGGTAAATATTCCTTCCATGAGGTGGTTTTCATTGAGAAACAAAACTTCTATGCTTAAGAAAATGTTTTGCAACTGCAGGATCTTTTATTTGCAGGCACTACCACGCCGGTACCAATACAATGGACATTGGCAGAGATCATCAACAGCCCCAAGACACTTGGAGACTAAGAAGGGAACTCGACTCTGTGGTAGGGACAACAAGGTTGATTCAAGAAACAGATTTACCAAACCTCCCTTATTTGCAAGCAGTGGTCAAGGAAGGGCTAAGACTACACCCGCCGGAGCCTATCTTCGAGAGATTCTCCCAAGAAGGGTGTAGAGTAGGAGGGTTCTATGTACCAGAGAAAACAACCATAATGGTTAATGCTTATGCTGTGATGAGAGATCCAAAGTACTGGGCAGATCCTGATGAGTTTAAGCCAGAGAGGTTTCTAGATACATGGCAAAAGGAGGAGAGAAAGGAGCAAGCACTTAAGTACATTCCTTTCGGAAGAGGAAGAAGAGGCTGTCCTGGAGAAAATCTAGCTTATATCTTTATAGGAACTGCAATAGGTGTGATGGTTCAGGGATTTGAATGGAAATTCAAAGAAGAGAAAGTTAACATGGAAGAGGTTGTCGTAGGACTGAGCTTGAGTATGACCCATCCTCTTAAGTGCACTCCCGTTGCTCGAACTCTAAACCCGCTAATTCTGAATTGAAAGAGTCGAGGTTTATGACTTTCCAACAACAAAAACGAAAAAGAGTCGCGGTTTATCTCCTTTCAATTATTTCACGTATATCCAAGAAAACATTGTATTAGTGAGCAAAGCATGATTACTCCTGAACTTAAATGTAAGAATATTATTTCCAACAAAATTTAACCTATGTTTTTATTATGAGAATAAGTCAATTTAAACTTCATTATTATTATCTATTCTATTAAAATAGAGTCATTCTTTTTATCTAATGATACAAGTTGTCATTTAAATTTGGACTCTTTCTAGAGTGTTACAAATAATACAAGTCATATAATTAATTAAACCGTATTACTTAAATTAAACCGATGATTATTTATGAGATATAATCTTGGGTTTATTTAGAATAAATTATATGGTTTGGTTTTTGGGCTTAGAATTAAGAAAAAACTCCAAAAAATATTAAATAAACTTTTCACTTTATTGGATCAAAAGAAGTTCATAAGAATACATTAACCCTATTAACTTTAATGGATCAAAATATTTGTTATTTTTAAGCCCAAAAGGTATTTACTATTTTTAAACAAAACAAAATTGTCTATTATTAATTATGTATTTAAATTATGTACTTTAAAACATGTTAATGTATATTTTTTTTATTTTAAATAACAATCACTTTGTTTTGATAAATTTCAATAGTAACTTTTAAATAATTTATTGTTTTATTTCTCTTAAATAATTCACTGATTTAAAAAAAATGTAAAGCAAAACCAAAACCAAAAACCAAATCTAAAAATTAAAATCCAAAACCAAAAATTGAAAAAAAGATTATATTTTTTGCCTTTACTTATTTACAAAATAAACTATTGCAAATTTCATTAAAAAGTTTTGTCATCTTTTCAGTTTTAAATTAGATGTTCGATTATTTGGGATTTGTTTGTTCGTAATATCAGTTCAAACTAACTCAGCGGGTCAAAAATTAAAAACCCAAACCAAAAGCTGAAAATCAAAAATAGAAACTTAAAAACTAAAAACCAAAAATCTAAAAACAAAATCTAAAAATAAAAACTGAAACTAAAAACTAATGAATAACAGTCATAACCACAAATTTTGGTGAACTAATTTTATCCCAAAACATTCTTTAAATTAAGACAAAACCCAATTACATAAATTTTTAATCATAAAAAATTTCCGCGCTTTTCAAGCGCGGGTCAAAATCTAGTTGTACTATTATTTTCGAAGCGATTTTTCGTAATCAAAACTCTTATGCTGAAAGTTAGAATGATTTATATATATACTACCCTTAATGATTATTTAAATTTGTTAAATATATATATATATACTATTATTTGAAAAGTAAATTTGCTTAGTTCTTTATTTCCCATAATTTTAGGAAGTTTTCTTTATTTGTAATGTTTTCATAATTTCATATATAATTTATAATTTATTATATAATAAAAACAAATTTCTATTAATAATATTTTTTCTTCTTAGAAAATAAGTCAATTCTTATCTATTAGATTGTTATCTTGAAAATATATTTTTCTATTATAAATTTTAAGTGAATTTGGTGATTGATTTGTATTTCTCCATGATTTAATTAATTTTGTTTATTTTTCATGTTTTAATAATTTCTTATATAATTTATTATATAAAAAATAAATTTATATTAATAATATTACATTTTTAGAAAATAAGATAATTCTTACGTATTTATATTGTTATCTTAAAAATATATATTTTCTATTATAGAACTTTAAAATTAAGATATAGAAATATAATTAAATAAATCAAGCAACGCTGGTTTGTTTCATGATTTTCTGTAATTTTGTTTATTTTTCATGTTTTAGTAATTATATAACCAAAAATAATTTATATCAGTAATATTATATTTTTAGAAATAAGATAATTCTTATGTATTTGATTTTTATCTTTAAAATATATATTCTATTATAAAATTTAGGGTTTTTGACAAAAGTGTCTCAAAACTTCAAATCAAACACAAAACTAACCTTGTTTTTTGGACATTTCATTTACCTTATTCACTCCATAAGTTCTGATTATTCACAAAAATCTCATTTTCGAAAATGAGAGTTTTACTTTATCATCCTCATCTGCATCAATTAATCACGAAAATATCATTGCCATCAATTCACCCAACAACCATGAACACCCAAAATCAAGTTTTTAATGCATCTAAAAACAAAATTTACTCATTTATTCTTATATTTTATCCCCAAAATCTACTTCTCTCTCAATTTCTATCTATATTCATTCAAAAAAATCCAAGCTTTTTAATTCTAAAGTTTTTAAGGGTCATATAGCCATTCAAGCTTATGATTCCTGGTAATTAACGATTGAGTAGCTATTCTGGTGAAGTTGTGTCTGCTTGGAGAACTAATCAAGTTCTCTCAGTGGTTGAAGGTGTGAATTGAATTTTTTTCCCACATGTGTTCGCTAGAAGACTTACTAGTAAGTCTTCGTAAGTCTTCTGGTTAAAGAATAGGTTAGTTTTGCAATTGACTTTCTGTGTGTTTTCTAGAGAAGGCGTTCGTGGAAATGTTCCAACTTTTCTTTGTTGACAAAAAAAAATTGAGAAGACTTCCATATTCCTTGGAAGTCTTCTCGGATAAACATGTTAGTTTTGCAATTCACCAATCTATGTCAAAAATTTGACTTTCTACAGAAGACTTCCCGGCTGGAAGACTTACCTAGAAGTCTTTTGAACTCTTACATTAAGTATGCTTGTTATCACTAGAAGACTGCGTAGGTTACTTTTGCAATTGAAAATTGAAACTTAAACAATTTAATTTAACTTGGAAGACTTCCTGGTAAGTCTTCCGGCGGAAGACTTACTTGGAAGTCTTCCAGATTTTTATTTCGTGATTCTGGTCAAACCTAAGGTAATGAAAGAAACTTCCGGAAGACTTACCTAGAAGTCTTCTCAACAAAAGTCAAATTAAGTCAATTTCAAAAATAACATAGGCAGATTTCTAGCGATAGCGAGTAGACTTAATAAAAAAGTTGAGAAGACTTCCAAGTAAGTCTTCCGGGAGAAGACTTACCGGGAAATCTTCTATAGAAAGTCAAATTTCTGACACAGTTTGGTCAAATGAAAAATTAACATGTTTATCTGAGAAGACTTCCAGATAAGTCCTCTCTGGTATTTTCCAGCACTTTTGTATTGCAAAAGTAAGCGAATATTTACAAAGGAAAACTTCCTTAGAAGTTTGCTATAGAGGAGACTTCTCTGAAAGTGTTCTTTTGCAAATTTTCAATTGCAAAAATCTATATAATAATAGTACACTTTTGAAGCTCCTCAGCGTGTCCACGTCAGCAAGTTTGCGGGTCACGTGCATGTTATTAGGGAAAATACACACATAACATTTTGTAAGATTGAATGTTATTGATAAGTGATGAAATGGTCCAGTGGTGTAAGTTGGTGAAGAGAAGTTGGTACTGCGAGCGCGCGGGTTCGGAATGCAGTGCTTGCATATAATTTTTTTTCTTTTAATTTGGGCTTTTTGGGATATCTAAAAGTTTAGAGAGATTCAAAATGATTTTTTATGCTGGTTGTTGGGATACAAAATGGCTTAAGGATTTGAAACTTTATGAAACCATCTAAGATATTTTTATAAAAAAAGGTTATCATGTTCTAACCTCCAATATCATTTCAATTCAGTTATAATCATCAAATAAAATAAAAACATATTTTTCAATAATAAATATTTACCCCGAACCATTCAGATCGACCATAAATCTCATATACATCACAACTAAAAAATATATATACATATACAACATAATTTTAGAAAGAAAATTATACTAATAAACACATGTCCTTTTTTGTCTTGTCTCCATTAAATTATTATTTTTACATGAAAGCACTAATAACAGTAATGCTTGATAAAATCACTAATAAAGAGAATGCTCGATAAATCACTACGCACATAAAATATGAAAATATCAACCCATATGAATTCGATGTTTATTCTTTTATCATACTAATCAAGTTGTGTGACTTCTAATGTTTCATTCATCACCATTATAAATAAGCCAGATAAACAAATGTTAAAAAACAACAACAAAGTCTCATACACAAAACTACACAACACATCACAACACATCAACAATGTATCTAACATCCGCGCTTGCGCGGGGACTATGCATCTAGTAACCTAAATGAAAGACTTCCACGGAAGTCTTCTACGATAATGTATAATAAACTTTCATTTTGTTCAATTTAAAATGAATTTTTAAGATTTTATTGGTACTTCATGTGTTTAAGACAATATTTGGAGTCCTAAATGAGATTCATAACTTAATAGTTGATAATTTAGAGGTTATCAAATATGTTTATTAATGTTTCTAGCTAATGATAGAAGACTTCGAAGGAAATTTTCTATCGGGTTAATTTTAATTTTTTTACCCTTGATGTTCAATCTTTGATAATATTCTATAATTTTATTTTTGCAGACGATACGTAAGTTAACTGTAGTTTACGAAGAATGGTTGGTGAAAGATGAGTGGCATTTTGTGGTTGATAATGTTAAGGGTACTAGAATTGCATTTCTAAGTGAAGGTTCTACACATGCCGATCTTGTCGAAATGGCTCAAGAAGATTATAACCTAGACATGAACATAGAGGTTGTGAATTTAACCTACTCATTACCAGACATTCCTCTTATTCATGTTACTAGTGATCAACAAGTTCGGAATTTGTTTGAGATTACTAAAACGCATGATGTACGTCTTTGTGTATCAAACCGAGGCACTGATGGAAACAAAGAATGTGAAGATGGTAATGGAGTTTCAGATGAAGAGAAATAAGATTAGGAAGGTGAAGAAGATGATGAAGGGGAAGAAGATGATGATATTTTGCTTCAAGATGAAAAAGATGATGGGGAGGAGGATGTTGTTTTCTCTGATGTTTCTGATCCGGTTGATGATAATAAAGATTATTGTGAGTATGGAAAAGTTAAAGATGAGAATGAGAAAGAAGAAGATGAAATGTATTTTTTTTT